ACCTAATTGTAATATGTTCCATATTAACTAATAAAGATTTACAGCGTATAAGCAATTTACAAACAAAAAAAAAAAATTAATAAATAGATATATCTAACTTTCGCCACAAAGAATCATCAAATGATAATAGTAATGATTCAGAAAATGATACTTCAGATTTAACTAATGATTCTTCTCAAAATACTCATCTTATAAAGTCAATGCACCATATAATCTATAATTCTTTATTTGATTATTGGAATGAGCCACTAATGGTCAGTTTATTAGCAACACTTTTGGATCCATAGCTAAAAACACTTTCCAGTTGGAATCAAAAAACTCAAAAAAGAGCCAAAGCTGAGTTAGCCCATCAATTTAAAGATATAGCTACTTCAAATCATGAACAAACAATATCAATATATACTACCTCCTCAAATAGTAACAATATTCATTACAATTGTTTACACTCCTCAATTTTTGGCACATCTACTTCAACTAATACTGCTTCTAATCCTTTAGCTGAATTAAAATGCTACCTGGACCCCACACGAACTCCTATTGCTGAAGATAATGTGAATCCATTTGAATGGTAGGCAATTTGGAAAAAGAAGCTTCCCAACATAGCAAAATTAGCCAGAAAGTACTTGTCAATTCTCATGTCTTCTGTATCTAGTGAAAAGTTGTTTTCAGATGCGGGTAATTGTATTACTGCAAAGCATACACAACTAGATCCTAATTTAGTAAATAAAATAATGTTTTTAAAAAGAAATTCTGATGTTATCTTAAATTTTTGAATTTATAAAAAATAAATAAACTAAATTATATTACTTATCTTTTACTTATTAATATGGTTACAATAATTTAAGCTTCAATTAAATATCTACTTTGTTTGTGTGGTTAAATGTTGAAGGATATAAAAATTTGATCTGAGTAGTTTCACTTAAAGGTTGATCATGAGATGAGCCATTCAGTATAAAGTCATAGTAACTAACCTTAGCATATACATGTACTAAATTTGTTATATTAACCTATTACATTAACCCTTTCCAGCATTGATTCTAAGTATTTGTAACGCTAAATAAGCAAAAAATCTTTACATTTCTTATGGTTTACCTTTTATACTATATAACCCGTTTTTACCCGGGTACCCGATTTCAAAGTTACATGGGTGACCCGGGTTATAAATTTGCATTCGGTTCGAACCTCTACATAATATTATACTGGTTCTGCATAGCATCATATACTATGCAGCTATCCTTATGAATATGTTAGTTTTGTACTTGATTTCTTTAGTAATTTACTGTGAAAAATTCTTACCAGCTATTGTAAATTTATACTGCCAATATATGCAGCACATCAAACCCAAACATGTTTGCAAACTTCAGGCCAAACCTGAACCAAACTTAAAGTCATATTCAGACTTAATCCAAACCCTATTACCATAAATATGAATATACAAGATCTCCCCTTATATCAGACCCACCTTCATTTTTTTACTAATTATTTTCTTTTTTTTTACTAATTAATTTTTTTGGTAACCTGGGTCTTGTATAAGCACATTTACAGTAGTTGGCAATATGAAAACCAAATTTGTAGCTTTATTTGTATATATGTGAAATATTTGAAATTTTTTACTTAATGTAAAAAAGCTATAATACAGTCTGCTAATTTACCAAATATGGATAACGTAAATCACACCTATTATAGTAATGATTTACTGACCCGAATATTCCAGAAACGATATACAGATATAGAAAATATTCACTTTTTTTATTAACATAGCGTGAAATATAGTAGTAACACCGTAACATATTATTATAGCAGTGACAGGTTTTTACTCTCATGCACTCTAATGTGTAAGAATTACGGGAATAAAAAGAATTCGGATTCGTATAATTCTAATTTCAATTGCAAAGTTTGCGACCTAGGTGACCTAAATTTGAGTTTTAGATTGGGTTGGAACCAATGTTTAAAATTTATATGCGGAATTTGCGGTGCGTATATTCCACAGATAAATTTTCTTTGAATTTGCAGATTTTATTATGTTTCAGACATGTCATGCATCTTTCTTTTGAAATTTTTATTATACTTACAAAAATTATCAAACTTTTCTGTATAATGAAATAAAGAACATTACAACAGGTTTGATGTTTCATTCTTTTTGGTTTTTTTATTTTTTGCTAATTCTCGATTCCAAGTTCTTGTCAGCATAAGCTAGGAATTATGACCTCTAACCATGTGGAATACTCATTCGAAATGCGAATTCAAATAACAAAGCGGTAGAATACTGGAAGATTCGGATATTTAAAAATAAGATTTTTGAAATTATGTCTTGTTAGTAAGGGATGGTTTAGAATTCTAATTTTATCTGTTTTGGCATGAAACTTTATTGAATTATTAATTTAAATCAATGATGCTTTATTTGAATCGTTTATTCAGGGATACGATTTATTGATTTTAAGAGAAAAATTAAAAATGCATGATGATTTACTGATTTTAAGGAAAAAAAATTTCAAGAATATGCTTATAATTGATCTGCATATCCGAGATTTTTTATTTATTTACAATTGTCAAAAAAATTTGTACAAGCGAATCAAATAAAAACTATTCTTTATTATTAAAATTAAGCTATTCATACATGTATAGTTAAAATTATTGAATTAAATAATAAAGCAATAACAAAATTTTTTTTAATAAATAAAATATCACACTATTCTGGCATTTCTAAGTGATCTTGATCAAATTCCTCTACAATAAGTAAACCTTTTATCTCCTGCAAGATATTCAGCAATTTGGGTTTGTTCTTTGACCTTAGTTCAGAATAGTTTTTTTGCGAATCTTGACCAAGCTGTTCAAGAAGGATCTCAATCTTTACTAAAATTTCGGGTTTGGTCATGTTCTCTTCACTTTCTTGCGCCTTCGCTTCTTTATTCATAACCGGTATGGACCTAAATGAAAATGAATTATCTTTATTAATAAATATTTTAGTAATAAATTTTTGTTGTGCCTGTTTTGCTAAAAACGTAAAATTTTTTAAATTTTCGCTCAAATCATATTCTTCCAGGTTCTGGTTTAAAAATTCAAGGCTTCACAGATAAGCTCAAAACCTTTGGCATTCCATCATTGATTCAGGCCGAGTTCTTGGTCCAGACGTTTGACGATCGTTATATCCGATGACTTTAAATAAATTGCTTCGAAGCTAAAATAATATTAGTAAATACAATTATTTATAAACTGCAATATAATTAAAATAAATGTGTCACCTCAATGAACTTCTTGCAATTGCACGTGGCAATTTTCCAGTGATGTTCTTGTGGAACTGGAGGTATTAAGGTTTTCAAAGTCTTGTTCACCTCTTCGATAATCGCATCTAATCCTTGGTGTTGTTCATAAAGATCTAACCTAGAAACAATACAGTTTTTCTCTATAATATTATGTATCTCTGGACGAAGCCGCATAAGTTAAATCTCATCAGCAACTTCTATCAACCGATAGATAGGGTGGCGTCTTGCGGACCAGATTGGCGAAAATACTCTTCTGGCTGCTTTCTTTAAAAGAGAATTGTTAGTTCGTATAGCTTTTCGATAATTGATAATTGCCTGGAGATAAATGAATGTCTAATAATAAAAATTCGTATTAGAAAAAGTTTTTTTTTTTTTAAATAAATAAAAGCTAACAGTGACCTGCTCATATTTAATTTGGTAAAGTGAATCCTGTTGTTCTTTGACCCAAGCGAGATACTCTTCGACTGATAACTCTGAATAGCTCTTCACATATGGCCACAAGAGTTCCATTGAGACTGCTTGATGATAAATATTGCAAATGGAATCCCAAGACTTGTGATGATCTGCACATTTTTTGAAATAGGTAAGCTGGTTTTCTGTTTTATAACCTTGACATTTTGCGAATTGCTTCACATCAACATCCCTAATAAAAAAAAAAATTTGGTTAATAAAGCAAAGATGTACCCAAAATTGATAGCTTTTCTTTTAAAACAGAGCTATTAACAATTTTTGGCTTTGATCTGAACAAGTTAGTTTGACCCATATAATAGCTTTAAAAATAACTTACCAATTCAACTCTATGAATGCTCGAAGCATATTCATTTCCTCGTACAATTGTCCTGGTATAAGAACTAGCCAAGGGAACTTTTTTTTAATTTTAGTAGCATAACTATACGGAACACCGTCACAGGCTACTGCAATCCACTTGCAAGTTTTGGATTCAATACCTGAAATCTTTTTTATATGTAAAAGAATTTTTTCGACATTCAAAATTGAATTGGGGTTAATATTAATCGGATCGGGTACGTAAAGTTCAGGGACGTTAACTCTTGGATCAGTGGCTTGTTGAGTAAGACTGATCCTGGGAATAAAAGAAGTATTTTGTTTGTCGTTAGTAATATATGGTTTAAAAATAAAAGGACAGATTGATTGATTGGCTGCATTATCTTCAATTGCTTCTTTTTCTTTTTCTTGTATTTCGGCCAACGTTGGCAATTTCGTTCCACACTTTGGACATAATTTTCTTCGGTTTTCAATCTTTTTTTGACCGCATTTGGGGCATTCTTTTATATTTGTAATACTTGCTCCTGTAGATTCTATAAGTGAATCAATAATATTAGTAGATATTAGTTTTTCTTCAGATAGTGAATTAAGAATTTCACTAAGATAAGAATATAATTCTTTATCGATGACTTCTTGCATTTGAGCATTCACATCAAAGAGTTCATTATATTGTAACCTGTCAAGAGAATCACACGCCCAAGGTACTGAATTTTGCTCTGTGGCGCCATATTGAATTTGACGAAGCTTGTAATGATATGGTAAATAACTTTATTGAATCCCCGATCAAGATAGTTTTTCTGCCCCTATTGCTTATTATCAAATACCAGAAATAAAAGGCCTTCAGGTAAAGGTTCTTCATGTTTTGATAATTCTTCTAACCAATTTTGAAACCGATATTCACTTCTCGAATTCGTGATGTAATTGTCAATATTAATTATGATTCTTGACCTTGTGATCGAATATTTAATAGCCGAAAGAGCAAGCTGGATTTCTGATACATATTTCCCATGACGCACTCCACATATCAAATCAACTGCAGTTGCAGTTTTAAAAAGTTTTTCCTGGCTTAAAGTATCATCTCGGTCATTTTGAACTAGGGCTTCTATAAATTTGACGATTACCTGATTGCGCCTATTGAGCCATTCGCGTGAACTATATGTCATAATGTTCTCTATAGAAAACCTAGCCTTATTGTAAATTAATGACTCTACTTCATAGAACAATGACACACGTTCTGTAGG